TGTATTAGAAACGCCTGAAAATGATTTTGTTGAATCGTAGCATATAGGTACTACACAAAATACCTATTTAATCATTTTTGTATTGTATTCGTAAAGATAAATTATAGTGAATTTGTATGTTTATTTCAATTTTACTATATTCTTGTGCATCAAAAATATTTAATAACATTGTGCCGCGAAAAATCAGAAAACAAATTATTATTTAAATTTGTGTATAGATAGTTTAGGTAACTATACGTACTTACGCTTCAATCGAGTTTAAAATGGTAATATACCATTACGTAGGTGTGGTAATATAAGTTGCATAATGCTAAAAATGAAATTGTTGAAAATGAAAAAGTTATTGATAATTCAATATATCTTAGATATGCCTTAAATGATAAGATAAGAAAATATCTCATTCCAGTTTAATTAACATTATAAATAACCCCAAATATAATAATCCACGTCGGTCGAATGCCAACATCTATTTTTATAAGCCCACCTAAATAACAAGTGTTTTCTTTGTGATTTATGAAATACAAATAAATAGGCACAGTACTTGCCAAACTATTAACACTACTGTATTCATTGGTAAAAATAAAGGGAGGGGGTGGCTTAGATATTAAACCCTCCCCCCCAAAAACCTCAGTCAACCCTCTTCAAATCAAAACTTCTTCAAAGAATACTAGTATGAATAATTTGTTTGAATCAATATTATGAATAACTTAAGCCCAATCATCAAAAAGTTGGGCTATTTGCACCTATGCGGGCTAATACTGTACAAATAAAACGAAAATCGCCGTTATTAAGATCTATAATTTTAGGTTATAAACAAGGTTGATGCCTTGGGATTGAATTGGTAGGGCTTTGAACATTTTAAGGATTAAAATATACAAATAAATATACCTAGGAGATATAGTGAACAGAAAGGTTCCCGCGTGTCAAATAAATAATGTTGGTTGGATTCCGAATTCAATGACCCTTTTTTTTCCTTTTTCTGCTTGTTAAATCTACAATGATATACATGATACTCTTAAAATAGTATATATATATTATATACTATGTATAGAAATCACACGGTATACTCTTAACCATATTGTACCACTTAAATTCTTGGTTGACACTATTATTGTAGTAGGTTTAGTTTATAAGTAAATATACATTCAAAATATTTAAATTCATATCAACTATTGATTTATTAATAGATTATTATAATTTTGGTTATAATATAAGACTGCAAATGTATGTAGATATTGCGTATAATACACGAATAATAATTAAACTTTTAAGTACTAAAAAACTTGAATAGTATTGCAGGTATAATATCTATATAAATAAATAAACGATATTATTTATATTAACAAAAACATCACATTAGGGGTACGAAGAACAATTACTTGCAATGGAATGTTTTTCAGAAAATATGTATACACGAATCTTTGCGAAACCATAATGAAAAATATAAGAGACGAAAAAACGCTGAACTAAAAAGATTGTACAATAAACAAAATATCGAAATATTCCTAGGCAAAACGAATGGAGAGGGCTGGTCATGTTTTGGTTGATGGAAGTCTTATAAGATATATTCTGGTCAGAAACCCAACAAAAACCAGTCAAAAAGAAGAACCAGACAGCAATGAATAAGGTAAGAAAAGATAAATCAGACGTTGACGAGTTGATGGAAATAGAAAATTCGATAGATCAGATCGAGATAGACGGAGGACGATCGAGCATGGCAGAAGCCTGCAAAAAGCCTTAATGACCTGTCTAATATTATTAAAAAAACATACATATAAAAATATTGGAATTTGGAGTATAACCTTTGCGTAGGAATATATTTAAATATTTACAATACGAATAAAGTTTATGAGTTATACTTTAAAAAAAAAACCTACGAGAGGGTGCGTCCGAACGGACTAAAAGAAACTTTTCAACAAACGAAATTCTTGAAAAATCTAAACAGTATAAAGAAAAATACAAATTTTCACACCCACACTATGTCCTAAACGTGAAGATCATCACTACATATTTTGTAATATACACATCATTCACTGTATAGAGAATACAGCATACAAGAAATCCTTCGACGATGTCGACAATAAATTCAATAACAGACCCAGCAAACACCTTCGCGGCTCTCTTATGGTCTAAATGAATATACACAATCGATTCAATTCCGGCAAAATAAACGCTGTAAAAATATACCTACTAATAATATAAGGCAATAGCCGAGATTTTAAATTTAATATTTTAGATTCTGAATGTAGCGAATGATGTATTACAAATATCTTTATTTTTCATATTGTGTACAAAAATTCTACCAAGAATCTTACTAGGATGTATACGATATAGACCTTTTTGTGGAAGGATTTTTTCTTGAGATGGTACTTTAAGGAAGTAATTTTTCAATTTTCCCAGGAGTTTTCACAACAAGTATGAAAACCCGGGAACATCGGTACAATATTAAACAAATATTATTAAATAAAATGTATAATGCCTATTTAATTAATTAATAATATACCATAATATAACATAAATATTGTTAAAAAAAGCATAACTATCCACTGAATTGCACTCAGAATCGTTTTTCGTTAGCAATGATTTATCGTTGCTTACAGATATACATTAAATTACCTACAACAATGGCTGCACTCGTCTCCATTATCCAGGGACGTTTTTTTTTAAAATACTTCATGTACGCATTATATTATTTACGTTAAAGGTTTTAATATATAAAGCACATATCGGCTATATATATATTTTTGGAAAATCTTGTTTTGAGGTAAACAAAATTGTCCACTAATTTTTTATGAACAGCACTTCAAACTCACGTTAAAAATCGAACTGACACATTGTTTTTTCGTAAACAATGTTTTATCATTGCTTACAGATAAACATTAAATTCCCTTCTGTATCTTACATTCCATCTTCCAACCTACAACAGTGGCTGCACCCATGTGAAAAGTATATCCGTCTTTTTCTTTAAGATAATTTATTATTGTTTGTTTTTCAAAAAATGATAATTGTATTTATAACATTGATTAGACGGACATACTTGGTACGGTAGGTGGGCCACTGTTATAGGTGAAAAGATGGAAATATAGGATGTAGAAGGTAATTGAAGATTTATCTGAACGCAACGATAGATTTTTAAGTTTTACAAGATGATAATAGAAAAAAAACTCTCTATACGACAACATATATCTCAATATTTTAGAAAATAACATGTACCTCAACACTATTGTCACGTGTATTAACTGAAATACTTTGTTCTTGTTGATACAATATTTTGATATAAGTGGTATTATTATATTTGTGGTTTACAACGAAATCACGAGTCTAACAAAAAAAAAAATAGAATAGAACATTTTCAAAAACAATCGTTTTTGTTACTAATATCAATAATAATCTAATTTTATCAAATAATGTTGAGATACACGCTTTTGTAGAGTATTCGACATTATAGTCAACTAGTATTCATACAGAAATGTATAATATAAAATAAATGCATTCGGTATTATTAAATAACGATCATGAATACTATATTAAATTGGATATTAGCTTATCGATAATATTATAGTTTTCTCCAATAGAATCAGATCGTATGATAGTTATAATGGTTTAATTCCATCATACAAGACTACAAAAGATATAAACAGAAAATATACAGCTAATAATGACATCCTTTCAAAAAACAAGAATCATCTGTTTGAAGTGAGTGCGTTCAATGATTTCTTAACAATTGCAATATGCTTATGAATATGTATTAATAAAATGAATAAGTTAATAAAAACAATAAGTAAGAAAAAATAAAAGAAAAACTCTAGAAAACCATTAAAAATAAATATTACAAACATATGGAAGGTATTTTTAAAAAAATTTTTAAATTTTGAGCAGTTTTACAGCATACATTTTTTATTTGTATGAGAAATCTTGATCCAATCAAAAATATGAAAACAGAGCTTTTTTTTATCATTTCGGATCTAGTTAATACATTGAGGAGGTATCGTATATAGCAGAATCATATTTCGTCAATTATGATTCATTATAAATTAAATAACTCTATGCATCCTAAATTTCCAACTCTCTACCTGAAACAGTAATACACCAAACAGCAGTACCGGTTCTTTTTTTTTTTTATACCCATTTAAATTAAAGATTATTTATTTATTAAATCATTAAAAATGAAAGTGACAAAATGTAGGTTTTTTTAAAAAAAAATTATTTGAATGTTTTAACAATTAGGATCTGCGCCGTAATCAACCATACCTATCGCCCCAAGAAAAGCGAATTATATGCGTCGAAAACGATTAACCCTATATATATAAAATAACATGTTCTGACGGACTGATTCATCATCGTTTAGCTTCGACCACTGGACAGATCGGGCTAAAATTTGGCACACATCAGATAGCTATTATGACGTAGACATTCGCTAAGAATGGATTTTTGAAAATTCAACACCTAAGGGGGTAAAATAGGGTTTTTTTTAGATATATTCGGTATGAATATCTAATCGCCTATTTATTTATTTTTATTTATTCAAAGGTAACTTTGGTGTGACGGAAAGGAAAACTATTATAATTATTAGTATTACTATTAAGATTTCACAATAGAACAAATTTAGTCCGCCGAAGGTAGACTGTCCACTTTCTACCTGTTCGTTTTCATTCAATTCTGACACGGCCAGAACCAAAAATTAATATAGGTAAAATAATAAATAATACACAAATTGGCACGGACAACGCCGGGCGCGGGACAGCCAGTGCATCATATAACAGTTTACTATTTCGGAATTATAATTCGATTACAATATCAATATCGCGCATTACGCGTGATAACATTATTATCGTACAGTACTCTCTAATGTGCGTGCAGAATCGGGCGTGTTGACAATAATCGACGAAAGGGAATCGGGAGAGACGACGGTAGGGGAAATCGCCGTTACACATTTCGCGTGGCGTCTATACCGAACGACACAACGCCGGATCACTATGACGGTTAGCCAACAGTTTATTGGCTATTAGACCCGACAACTAAACCATGTACTAAAGTGCGACCGCGCGGTTTTTACGGCTGTTCGGAATTGTGTGAAAATAATACTCGTGAACGCCTATACATATCTACACCTACGCCCACGTCGAACTTCACTCGGCGAACGGTTAATTCGCGTGATTCGCAATATATTATAATTATATAACAAGTGTTAATTGTATACTCCGCGAAACAGCGATAAAAAAAAATAATATTTCTCACAGAGGTTAGTGTATATTATAGAATTTTTTTATTCCGAAACAGTATGTCTTTGGTCTCGGGAAAGAAGGGCTCGAGTAGATTTCGTAGTTTTCTACACGAGCAAAATTAAACAATTTTCGAAAAAACGGCGTTATGGCCTAATATCGCATTCTAAACGGCGTAAGTCATAATAACGTACTTATGCGACTTACGCATTTTCGCAATACAAAAAGTGCATCATATGATGCGATTTGGTGATTTGAGATTTTTTTGTATTTTTAGTGTAACACGAGTTAGGATATTTACATAGGTACCCTTGTGCAATTTAGACCGAAAAATAAAGGGAAACGAATTATACCAGACAAAATTCTGCAAAAAAAAAAAAATTACTAAAAATTGACTTAAGCACTTCTTCCCTGGAACCAAAGATACATTATACACAATAACAAATAAAACATCTCATAAAATACGAATATATACATACAGGACCGTTCTTAAGATTTGCGAGACTTTAGACGAAATTTTAAATATTTGAATTATTTTATATAGTACTAGAAATTCGTATGTTTATTTTTGGAAGTAAAGCTCCAAATCTAAGTAAAAACGCGAGGCCCAAAGCCTGAACCCTGTAATCCCCCCCCCCTTAATGACGACCCTGTAGACATATATTAATATCATATTTAATGACGTGACGTAATACTATATATTTCGCTGAGCCTATCTTAATTATAAATGTATTATAGTCGATGCACCTTCCCCACACCCTGCTGTATAGGTACGTCTTGTCACGTATATAATAATAATTTATGTGCATACTTATTATGCAGTACCTATACATGAATAGTGCAATTTTAGTAATTGGTAAGTATCGAATTTCATTATATTTTATAGATTCCACCGAGTAGAACGAAAAAGTTATTACAGTTCTACCGGCATGTGTTTTTTTTCGTTTTCTCGGAAAACCTTTTTTCAGTTTGTGAAAATGATCTGATTATTCCATTCTGTATACCTTAAAATATACAGATTTTTTACCGAAACAGCACTTTTTTATCCTAAAAAAAATACCTAAGTTCCTGAAGAATTTTCTACAAAATTTAAAAATCTAAGTCGATACATATAGATTTTATTTTTTTCGATTCCTGCGGGTTACTGATTGGCCGCGGAGGGAATAAAAAACGACTAATACTACTCCGTAATAGCGATTTATCACGTTACTTCAGTATGTATACAAATCGAATTACTCTACATCCTATATATCGTTTCACAATTATCAAAACAACACAATATTTGTATAATAAGTGACGAAATATATACACTCATTTCGGGTAATATATAGGTATATTTGAAAAATTATGATAAACTTGTTTTTAGAAAATCTAAAATTGCATCTCTGTGTAAGGCAAAAACACCATTTCTATATTTGTACGTATACTGTTATAAAAAAATTGTGTACCTATACAATATAATAAATTGTACGTTTTTCTTTTTGTACCTACATGTATGTAGACACAATAAATATATGGCACATTATAAAATGCGTGGTGGCGTGTTCCGTACGAAAAGAAATTTCTCGACCTTATTGACAATAAAAATACCATTGTATAATAGTATATATAAACAGTATAAAATTATACAGAATAAAAAGATATCGTATTATTATATTATATACGTGCAAAACTAGTGTTCTCGCAGTACCATAAATGTGTATATTATTGTAATAATACGTCTAATAACTCTTTCGGATGTAATAAACATAGTTTTTTATTTTTCTTTTATAACACCACAACAATTTCTAGACAAAATAATGAGATGTGATAAGTATAATTAAACATTTTAACGAACGGCTTAAAAAACATGGAAAATCTAAATTTGGAAGGCGAAATTTGTAAAATCAAAACTTGGAAAAGCAAAATTTGAAATTAGTAATATACACCATGCTAAATATAATTATGTAATAACTACGACGGTGGATAACACATGACATAATAATGTATATTATAAAGTCCAAATTTTACCTTTTCAACATGTATTTGTCTAAGTTTTTCGTTTTCTTAATTCTAGTTTTCGAGGCTTTCATTTTCTAAGTTTCACTGCATTCCCATTTAAACGTTTACCTCTTGAGTATTGTAACGATTATATATAGATTATAGGTACTACTATAGAAGTTATATTATAATATAAATAAATCATGTTCCGTATCATATAATATCATCACTATAAAATAACTATAATATTCCTACTCTTGGGGGTGATTGGGCGAAATTCCGGCCTAAAATGTGTGTCCATGGTCTGACTAAAAATAAGTACATGGACAAAAATTTACTTATAAAAAAAAAAATAATAATATAATAAATATTTATAATAGCCTGAAATATTGACAAAATTGCCTGATAATTGAATAAAATGTGAACATTAATCATATGCATAATATTATTGTAATTAAAAAATATTTATTTTTTTTTGAAAACATAAAATTAATGACAATAAGAGTATAATTTAAAAGGGTGTCAGGGTGACATTTGCTGTATTTCTAATTGCAGGCAGTAATACCAATAAATTGAAATTGTGTTAACATGTAAATAACATACAAAAAAGCCTTTAAAAATTGGTTATGAACATAAAACGCCTATCATAATATTTGTAAATGGCGACATTATCATTTATAAAAAAATAATATTAGATAAGAGTAGTAATAATAGCTTGTATTGTTAAAATGATAGTAAGTAGTATAACCTATAGTACCTAGATTTCGTATGTGCCATCTATCAGTGTAATATATAACAAATAATTATCAAATAAAAACCTCAATTTTTTTTTAGGTTACTGGCCTGCCAAAAAAAAAATTATCGGTCTACTCTACACATTATTATCAATTATTACAATTGAAAATTTAAAATAATAATATAAATTTTACGATAAAGTTGAAGTTATAATTTTACTCTAAAACTATTGAAAAATAGACGGTTCAGGAAGTAATATATATTTTTTTTTCCACAAAATTAGAGAAATAATAATATTCATAATATTATACACGCGACACATCTATACGTATAATCAAAAATATACCTACACTGTAATCAATATAATGAATAACATTGAATTTTTCACGAATTTGTTCAATTATATTATATAGTAAACATTTAAATCATTAAGTACTTAATTGTAGAAAAAAATAAATTTAAATGTTACCATAAAATTATAATGTTCCTATATGAACTTGAAAACTCGGGACGAGATTAAAAGTAAATCGCGACGATATTATTATATTATGCCTACAATAAGTATAATTTACGGATAAATAATATAGGTATTTCAAATCGTGTAACTTACGTACGTAGCATACAATAGTAATTAATATTAAATATATTATAACGTTGCACTTTATATATAACGTAATAAATACATAATCATTTGGTTTTTTTTTCTATTAAACAGAATTGTAATAAAATATTAATAAAACTATTAAAAAATAATCGTAATAATAATAATCCGCACGAAATATTATTCAACAATACGATATTATTCTATATAATAATATATTATTATTACTATTATTATTATTATTATTATTATTATTATTATTATTATTGAAATATTGTTATCAAACGTTGATATTATAACTTATAATAATAATATTATTATTATCATTATTTAATCAATTACTAAACGGTTTGTCGGAATTAAATAACTCTGTCCTCTACGCGCCCTTCTCCGCCGCAAATAGAAACAATCGTGCGCATGCAGTGTAGTATGCGATCCCTTTACGTTTTTCCCACATAACGTGTGCGTGTGCGGCGTCCCCTCTGCGTCCCCGTCGCCTTCTATCTGCGTGTAAAAATAAGCGAACCCGACAACAACACTGTTAATACAAATTAACGAGACACCCCGGTCTATTTTATCACCTAATTTATTAGCACATTATAGAGACGCGGAGAACAACACTAGGTACGCGTTTATCGTTGATTAAAATAGAAACAGTGGTTCGCAAATCGTTCGGACGGCACGCGGATCAAGACGCGCGATAATGTAAACATGTGCACAGGGTGCCGCGCGAAAGACCCGACGCCCGAAATAACTTTATACAAGGGTCGTATTTATAAACTTTTAGAAACATTTTTTTGAAACGAATTTTCGGTGGTGATGCGAACGCTTACACTAATAGCAAACCGCGTTAGGTTTCTCCCAGTTTTCAAAGTTTACAAAATTATTTTTCACGGAAAAATTGGTGAACCGGTTAACAATATTTATAGTAGCGGCAACGATAACTATAGCAAACTTCAATTTTTTTTTTTTTTTTTTAGAAAATCAACGATTTATATATTTTTATATTTTAAATATATTTAACACCGAAATTTTGTTTCAAATTTTATTTAAGAATTGGCCCACTTGAATATTGGAAATAAAAATTTCAATTTTTAATTTTTTAATTTAAATAAACAAATTATAGCACAGATCTAAAGAAATTATTACAAGAAAAAAAAACATAAAAATATTTGAATTAAATAAACTGGAATATTAAATAAAAGTTATTTTAGGTGTCAGGTTGTCATGTAAGCCTGTAGCTGTTTATAGTTGTATACAATATCAATGATGTACGCAGAGGGTAAAGGGTTATGTCCAACCCACTGACTTAAAAAAACAAAAAATATGAGTATTTATTCAGTAATTCAATCTTAAGATTTATTTATATTTTAAATTTGCTCAAAAAACTTATATTGCCTTTTCAAGACGTGGTCAAATTTTTATTAAATTTTAACCAATTTCGAACTATTTATAAACATTTTAACTTTGCAAGTTTTTTACGTTATTTTTATTCGGTAAGTACAATGTGGATAAAATATTTAGATCAAACATAAATGCTTGGACATTTAACAAGATGTTCGTTATAAGTCGTTATTTGTGGTCAAAACAAAAAAAATTGAGTGTAATGTGGAATTTTTTTTAAAAGAATTTTGGTATCAAATTTTGACTAAAATCATAAATATTACAGCCTTTCAAAACATGCATAACCGAACTCTACTCAGAATCATTTTTCATAAGTAATGTAATCGTCGCATACATAAGTACATTAAATTCCCCTTTATATCCTACCTTTTCAACTTCTCAACTACAATAGTGGCTCAGCCATCATGCGAAGTAGGTCGGTATCTTTTTAATATTGTTTATTATTGTAAAACACTGTTTAGAATTTCTATATGATAAAACACAATGAAAAATTTAGAAAAATAATAAATACGATAGTTTATTTAATCTAATCTATTTAACCACGAAGCGATAATTACGTTATAGTTTTAACATAATAAAATATCACAATCGAAACCAAAAAATATTACCTCGATTTCGATACTATATAACTGTATCGAATCACCCATCTCTAATTAATACGTATTTATAATGTATTTTATTAGGTAACAATATAAAATAATCATTATAATACAGATTAACTAAACCGAAATATATAAATTTGACATATATATATTATAAATGTATACGTCTAACTATAATATTGTAAAATTAGTTATCCACTTATGTATTTATTTAAACTTAAAAAAAAATAAAAGTCGGATCTAATTAATCTATTATAATCTTATTTTAATATTTTCTTTAGAATCCATCTTTTGTGGTAGTTTTATGTATTTAAATACATATTACGTTCAAAATTAAAATACAAAAACATGTTCGCTTGACATCATTTTTCTATGGATTTCAGAATTATGTCAGTAGACGATAAATAATAAGTACCTATTTAACGCGACCGAAATTATAGTAACTAAACGTGCGCTACGATTGTCCGCTCGCTTTTCACGAGTTAAGGCCCCTCTTATTGAAAATTGAACGTTGCCCGCATGTTCAAATGTCGATTATTAAAACTGTTTGGATAAATGGCTATTAAAGATCATTTCAGATGTCGACTATAATACACGATAGTGTTTATGTTCACACAAACGTGTGGACATTTCACAGTGAACGACGTACGCGCCTATATAGTTGTTTTTTTTTTTTAAATGCTTATCCAAACTGTATTGCGATTTTCCTCTACCGGCTAATGAATTATACAAACTCGGACCGAATAGAATATTTAACTAACGATATGATTTATACGTAAGTAAATTAAATGTAATAAAATAAAACAATAATAATAATTATATATACTATATAGTAGACAATTTTACATATTTGATTGATACATTTAACTAGCAAAAAACATTATTTAAATTAAATACCTATATTACCAATTGTCGATTTTAAAAATAAGTAGACACATGTATATTTAGTTTTAAAATACAAATAAAATATATAGTAATAATAAATATTGTTAATAACTTGAGCACTAATTTATCGTTAATTTTAAAACTACACCATTACTATTATCGATAATATTTCTATTACAAAATAGACACTACAAATCATAATGCGTAGATACTCTATATTTGAAAACATAAAATTATTACCAAACCTAATTATAATATATGATTTCCTTTTCTTTGCTTTTAAAAATATACATACATATGTATAAACTACTTTCAATAGGTACCTACCTATATTTCGTTTATAATATAGCTAATAAATTATTACAAATGTATAAAAAAATATTTGATCAATCATTTTTTTAGTCTAATATAGATTTAAAAATCAATTCTCACGCTTTAATGGTAAGTACATAGCTTTGTTGTTCTAAAACTAATAACTAATGACGAATGGCTCATCTACTAAACATTCTTATCACCTGAAAGATAAAAATATTTATTTTCAAACGAAAAAATAACGGTAGGTCCACATAAACAAACTAGGTATCTATATTGTTTTGAATCCGAAAAACTAATTTCATATCAAATTTTTTTTTCTTTTCAAAAATCATTAGTAACATATTATAAATTATAATACATTTATAATTAACAATTACATATTATATTATCGTTAAGTTAATTATCAATAATATTTAAATAATTTAAGTTTAGCCTAACAAAGTATAAAATAATGAATGTTTAAAAAAAAAAAAAACCCCGTATCTAATTGAGAAATTATGAGACTTTAAAACTAAAATGAAAAATAAAAAAAATTAAAACATTCGGAGCTTACCAATTGCAGATTAAAACTAAAACAAATATATACCTACTGAATACAATCTATAATATTATAACTAAACTAAATTAATATCAACACAAATAAAGAAAATAAATAGTTTAGCAACAGATCAAACAGATCAAGGTGTAATCTATTAAAACTTCCTGCCCGATTACATGTATTTTTGCATTAAGTATAGTCAATATAGAAAATTCCATATTTTAATAATCGTATACTAAAAAGTAATACTACACAAATCAATATTATGATGGTAAAGAAAAAGTCAAATACTGGTAAATTCAATTATTTAAGAAATAAAATAAATACGTTTTTTTTTTTTTTTTAGTTTAAATATATAATGAAAATTATCCACATTTTTTGGAATACTTTGTACAGTGATTATCATTAATATCAATGTTAAACACGGATGAAGTAATCGGATTAGAATTGTAAGTATAACTTAATCTTGTTATTCAAAAAATGTAATAATACAAAAAATCCACCGTATACTAAAGATATTGTATCGTTTTATATATAGATGGTCCAAAAAAAACCAAAACATTATGAACGCAGCTGCGTTCATGACTTTGCTTATCATGTGCATAGGAATTTTAGGTAATGGCTTGACTATAATAGCTTTGCTGAAAAGTCCACGGATTCGAAATGTAGCGTCTGCGTTTATTATCAGGTACCTATTGAATAAAAATAATATTACTCTATACAAGAGTATAATTTCACCAACAGAAAATGTAACATGTAGATCGTTTTACGGATTATTTGAATAATTTTGAGGACTTCAGATACACACATTAATTTTTTTGGAGGGTAACTAAAAAACTAATGGTTCGCTGAATTTGAAAATCATCCGGAAAAATCACCCAAATTACCCGTAAATTGACTATGATGTTAAATTTGTGATTTGTTCACATGGTGAAATGGTACTCTATATTATAAGTATTAGTTAATAGTTAATACAATATAATATTTTATATGAAATATAAATTTGAAAATATGAAATAATAAATACATAGAATAACAATAAATAAAAAAAAAAGATTTCCAATAAAATATTTAAACAAATAAATAAAGCTATGTAAATACACATCATATTACATAATAATTATTATTAACTATGCTAATCGTTATTTTTATTACAAAATTGTGAAATGTTTAAGTGAATACTTTATTTATTACCAATTACTCATTTTATGGTTGATTTGTTTAAAAAGATATCTATTAAAACTAATTTTTATCATTTACTGAAACTTTTTTTTTATATTTTAATGTGCATTATTTACATGAAAAGAATGCATATACGGCATATTTTATAACTAAATAAAATAAATGAATAATTGTGTTATATCTGGATTATTCTCTACAGTTTAGGAGCTGCTGATTTATTGTTCTGTATAGCCGTGTTACCGTTCAGTGCATCGAGATTTTTGGATTTTAATTGGACTCAAAATCCATTATTATGTTCTATGGTTCCATTTTTTCAATATGGAAACGTAGGAGTTTCACTACTCTTCATTTCTATGATCACCATTAATAGGTAAGTCACTTAATATGTAAAGATACTTACCTACAACTAATATTTTCCCTCGACAGTTACCAGCTCAAAGACATAGTAACAGACAAAAAATAAAAAGGTGTCTATTAGAGAACCATTACGTCAGCAGTACTAATGACTACTGTGGGGTGTCAAATATTACTAAAAACCTAATAAAATGTTTTATTTTTCTGTTTTTGCTAAAGAAATTATATTTTACTTTTAGACGAATGCAAAATAAATATTAATCAACTATACTGAGTTGAAATTTAAATCAGACACAGTTTTAGAAACAAGTGATAAATATTTACTGACAATTTATTTAAGTGTCTGTGCAGTGTGTACATTAAACGTTCTATGCCGTATAAATTATTATAGTTAAAGCCTTAAAGGCAGTAAAGGCACTACGTTAAAGTATTAAAATCGTATACATCAACGTATAAAATCATACAAAAAACGTATAATTGCATCGACAAAATCGATAGATGCATTCAGTGAACAAACACGAGTATACTGTAACACCACCAGTTCAATTAAAATATTAAATCGCACGTATGAGAAAATGATACGACAAAAATTCATTAAATTATAATTAAATCAAATATTATATTTTGCTCTTTGTTCACGTTGAATTCGAAAAGCGCGTCAAATTTAAAACGCAATTATTTCCTATAGGTAGGTACTTAATTCAAAATCACACCGTTAGAAATATAAATTCTGTATGAAAAATAAAAATACAAGACAATATTATTACTGTGATTAACACGTTATTATTATAATTAATACATTCCCTCGTTAATCATAGAGATAAATATATCCATAACATATACCAGAAATTATAATAATTGCTCAAAAAGTTAAAATTGTTAATTTTATAATTTTAATTTTAGCAATATCTTAAATTTAATAAAAATATACCATATTTTTAGATAGTAAAATGTTTACAACAGATATACAAACATATTTAATTTTTAACCTTAAATTTGGTATTTATTTAGACAAAATCAACCTTATCTAATCTAATTTGGATTGGATTTGTTCATATGTGTAATGTTTTAAAACGTTAAAATAAAAATTATGAGGTAAAACTAGATAAATGATTTCAGGATTTGTTTGATAAATTGTCTACATTTTTGATAAGACACAACAAAGTTTAAACATATTTGTTTCTTTATAATTTGTATACAAATATCATTTAGAAATTATCTCTTAATAACTACACTGTTAAAATAAACCAAACTCTATTTATAATCGTTTTTCGAATATGCTAATTTTATAATTGCTTTCAAATAATATACAATAATAATAACTGAGCAGTAATAAATCAATAGATTATTTTCCGAACTTCCCAGTTCAATGCTCTAAAATCGTACTACGCATTATAAAAGAACGGCAAGAAAAATTAAAAGCTAGAGCGTATTAACAATTTTTTTTTTCAATTTGTATTTTTGATTTTTGCCAGAAATAGTATTTAGAAAGCGATAATTGTGCGTTTAATTGTTTTTTTCCTACAAATTTGACTTTATAATTTGTCACAAAAATATCATATATATATATACTGTATAGTAGTATAAGTCATTCATTCGAGTGTAAACCATATTCGGCAATGGTTTATTATATCACGGCCATAAGACGTGAATAAACGACGTTGTGTCGCGTATTCCATTTCGCTGAGTCTCTCTATATAATATATGGACGGATTTCATGTAAAAGGGGCAAGTCATCGTAAACAGTTTACGTTTCAGGAGACGACAAACCCAATGAAAAATGTTTTCAGATGTTTTTAATTTAATTTAATTTTAAGATATAGATTATAGATTATTTATATTTGATGTATTTTAAAAAAAAATTGATTAGGAACTTAAATAATTGTTGTGGTTTACAATCTTTAATATTTAAAATTAATAATAATACAACTTATCCTCATCCTCACATTTGGCTTGTTACCTTATAAATGTAGTTAGATGTATTTCTATGGTTACTAGACTATGGTTAACAGCTCAACATTTAATCACCTAACTTTGTGTCTACTGATCAAATCAATTATTTAGGTATTTACATAATGGACAAATTCGAATGAAACGTTTGGTCAAAATTGCAAGTCAATCGACTGACTACTTTTCGAGTTTTTCGAACACAAACATACGCAGGCTGAATTTCTATATATAAACAACATATTGAACTGATACAATTAAAAACTTGGCAAATATTAATATAAATGTATTTATTTTTTACATCATATCAGTATTACATCATTATCTTTTAAAGCTTGGGCTTATTTGTTTTGCTTTTTAAGAATTTTGGGGGAGTATAATATACAATACACAACTACGAAATTGCTTTTATAATCATTATTAATGGCGGTTTCAATTATTACAACATTTACTATCATTCGTTTTGTACTAGTAGCTGCAAGCGAGTTTAATATTTCAAATCGTTAACATAGCTCACGTTCTCTTGACGATAATAGAATCGAATGTAGAAAATCATGATCTGAATAGAAAAACCACCCGTATGATGTAGAAAACAATATTCCAGTTAATGACGCGGCCGGATGACAAAATGTTTGAGTTGGTATATTATTATTATATATACACAGCAGTAGAGGATATTATATGAACGTCGAGTAAAATAACAACAATAGGTGATAAAAGACAACGTAGCAAAAGCTTGTTCGCGGCGAAAGTTCAAAAGTAGCAGCAGTAAGAGCAGACGACACAGATATAATGGAGCAATCACTAATGTAGGCTAAGACTGTCGGTATATTATAACAACACACATTCGCAATCGCAAACCGAAAATAAACGAATAGGACGTGATAGAATTACAAAAGGCAATAAATTATAATTGTTTTGTTTTAAACGACATTTTAAATCGAATTAATAATGTAAATTAATACACCTAATTGAGATTTTTGCAGCAAGAAACTTTTTATCGAGAAATAAAACGCTTGAAATAATCTACAGACTCTTAAAAAAAAAACTAAAATATCTTATTTTTTCGAACTAGTAAAATAATACATCCATATTCGATAGGAATTATTGCAGATATTGTCTACTTGTCCTATAATCATATATTGACATTAAACAATAATATTAGCAACTTGGTTCTACACATAAAGACCCTCATATTCGTTAATTTTTGGGAATTTTTTGCTGTAATTCGGTTATAAACACACGTAAAGACTTAAAACTTGGTAATAATACTTATATTGGACATACCTAGACGTGGTAAAATGTCCAAAATCATCGGGCGACTATTTTTTAATAAACGTTTTGAAATCAAATTTAAAAGAAAATCACAAAAAAATTACAGCATTTCAAATTATGTATTACCGTACTGCGCTCGGAATCGTCTTTCGTAAAGCAATGGTTTATCGTTGCTTACAGATAAAAATGAAATAACCTTATGTATCCTACCTTTCTACCTTCTCATCTACAACAATGACTGCTTCCATCCCCAATATCAGATTTTTTTTTAAATTGAAGTTAGTCAATCATTATTAAAAATTTAATATAAAAATTATTACTCATCTATCAAAATTTAAACATTAAAAACAATATAACCTTTAAAATCGAAAACAGAGGCTGCTGTGTAATGTGTATATTTTGTATACATACTTTGAAACCTTTTAAAATACATTATACCAACACAGAAAAATAACTGATTCTGGGGACGGGTGCAGCCATTGTTGTAGGTGGGGGTAGTTGGGAATGCGGGATACATAAAGTCATTTAATTTATACCAAAAATCAACGATAAACCATTACTGATAAAAAACGATTCGAAACTAATTTCAATTATATATATTTTGAAAGGCCGTAATATTTACGATTTTTGTCAAAATTTGATTTTAAAACTTTTATAAAAAAAAAAAAAAATATATTACACAAAACTTAATACATAATAATTTGCTGTTTAGGTTTTTAACTTATAATTTTCTTTCGAGTTTTTCCCAATTATTTTGAAAACCCTTCAGAAAATCAACAAATGACCTCCCCAAATGCACCAACTAGATAAAATTATCTTTCAGAAAAAGGACTACACTTGATACTTCAGAGCATGTTTTCTAATAGAAAAATTTTCAGACACAAAAATTTAAAAAAAAAAAAACATCATAACGCTCTGAATCTAAAAGATATATTTAAAAACAATATTCCATAAGTAGAAAATATTATTTTATACCTACATCGAAAAATATAAATATATTTAATATTTATATGTTATTAAAAGTATATTATTGGCATAATCAAATAAATACCGATGTTTTGTTATTAACTGTAAATTTGCTTTTACATATTTCATATATAAAATAATATTAAAAATAATAAAACGCACTTTTATTAATCTTTAATAGGTTTTCGTTACTCTCGTAGTTTTAAATTGTATATAAATGTACGTGATAATTATTATCTTAATTGTAATGGTCAGACATTTGAAAATCGTCTGATTTTTCCATACGCTTTCTGAATACGAAAATTTATTTATTTCAGATACATAATGATCGTCCACACAAGTTTATACAATAGCATATATCGTCCAATATGGATAGCTTTAATGATAACGTTTTGTCTGATTCTAGCGTTTGGCATGCAAGTACCGACCTTATTGGGTGTATGGGGTATGTTTTATAATCCTTAATATATTATTTTCCGACATTTTATTCAAATTTCAAGCAAAAAATTATATTTACAACAGTATTTTTTATTAAATTTTCGTTTTAGGTGAGTTTAAACACGATCCGAAATTAGGTACGTGTTCGATTACAGTCGATAAATGGGGTCGATCGTCTAAAACCGCACTGTTCATCACCGGTTTTATCATACCGTGTATTGTAATTGTTTGCTGTTACACCGGTATATTTTGGGTCATTCGTAAGTAAGTATATACCTAAGTATATATCATTACAGTCCTATATATACCAATTTGATTTATAAGTTTATAATTGAATATATGTATTGGGCCGTGTTAAGGATAGAAGACAATGGGAACATTTTCCGCCGGGGAGCCAAAGCTATTAAAATATTGGGGCGTCCGCGTCCGGCTTAATATGAATTCAAAATAAAATCAACAATATCACTATATTTGTATATCACATGTGAGTTTTTTTATTTTCAAACAATTTCCTTAGAGGAATAATGAATATTGTTTGATGATTAAAAGAGTGCAACCAAGTACCGAAAACTTGTATGTTTACCTTTACTTACAAAAATTCAGGACTAAAGAAGAATCTTATTTGATAAATGTAAAATTTAAAAATTTGAATATAAATTTAATACAATTATAAAAAAAATCAACAAATGTACGGGGGATTAATCCCCAAATAATCTTCAAGTAAGACTTTAAGAAGTGACGCTTACAAATTGATGCCCTTGGTCACTAAATGACTTAACATGGCTCTATATATAAAAATAGTATAATAGTATAGTAGAAAATTAATATTCACAAAATAAAGTAAATATAAAAGTTGACACTCCAGGGATAGACCAATGTTGTGGGTGGGAATTTGAGAAGATAGGATATATAGTGTAATTTAACCTATGCACTGTAGCAAAAAATAAATCATTACAAACGAAAAAACGATTCTGAACGGTATGGTATAGTATTGTCCGTGTTTTTTTACCAAGGCCACCCAAAAATCAACAAACATACACTAAGGGTTGAACATTTTCATAAATATTATTTTATAATTTATATTATAAACATAAGCTACTGCATGAAAAATTAGAACATTTGGCTAAACAAAAAAGTATTTAAAAAAAGAAATTTGTTTGTAAAAGTATTGGCAATTTTGAAAAAAAGTTCAAATAAAATACCCTCAAGCGATAAAAATGCGCATTATTTAAAGTATGTGGCGAAAAATCAGACCAAATTTATAAACCATAAAGACATTTTCTGAGAAAAAAACACATCTTTGAAAAACTAATAAAGTTTTTCGTTATACTCGATATCTAAAAAACCACAAAATATTGTTTTTAGAGTTAGTCCTCTTTTTTATTTTTTAACAATTTATACACACACGTAATGCTTTAATACCTAGTTATAAATAAAGTGAAAATTCTTCAGTATAAATCCGGTATTTTTACAAATACTCACTTTTGAGAAAAAAAACGTATTCGAAAAGTTAACACAATTTTCGGTTTGCCGTTCCAGAATATTGGAAAAACCTAACAAAAAGCACTTACACGTATAAATAAAGTAAAGGGAAATGTTTAAATTTTAATTTTAATAACTTCAATCTCTCGGATCATTTTTTTTTTTATGTATAATCTATAGATAGTGTTTGAAGTCTGAAATATTTCACCCTAATGTAAAGTAGATTAGTAGATTTATATTAATTATTTATCTATTTCACTATTTGACCCTATTTCCTAACAAATATAAGCTTCCCGCTAGTTTAGGAAATAATTAGATAACAGTATTATTATTTTTCAATAGTTTTATATAAGTGTTATCATGAGCAAGAATATAACGCTACCTACCATACACGTAATAATTATTAATTTTACATTTTGACTGATTGTATCAAAAAAAAAAAACAGCAAAGAAAATATTTTCAATTTTGTTAAATACAAATTGTATATAATACGAAATATTATAAATTAAAGATAAGAAAAATATGTATGTAGTGAGATATTATGTTATTTAATTATTTTACAAGATAGAAAACAAATAATAATAATAATAATAATAATAATAATAATTGAAATATTTCACTGAGGTTATTAAAAAATGTTATAATTCATGCAATTTTTAAACACTGCCTAATAGCCTATACCGCATTATTAGATTAAATTTCATAACTACTGAATTCTACAACAGAATACATTAGAAAATGGTCCATTGACTTATTAATAGTTGGATTGATAAAGGTGATAATTGAATTAATTTATATGATTAATACCGTGAGTTACACAATAATGCAGATGGTCATTACATTATTAGATCAATTATTTTATTTAAAACCAATAAAATTATTATAACATAACAGTGTTCAGCTATTGTTTAAGTCGACTACGGTGACGCGTCTTCTCTAAGATACCTATATAGACACCTAAACCTATATCTTAATTATATATATATATATATTAATTGAACTAATAGAAAATAATAAGGTTTTTTATTTTCAAAATAGTAACCTGCAAGTATACATATTATATGAATTAACTTATTTTAATTAGCATTTCTATAATAATAAATAATTTCAGTTAAAATATTACCGAAATAATTGGTTACCAAATGTGACTCATAATTTTTATTATGAGTATTATTACGTGTAAAAAGTAGAACGTTATATACCCATCAAAACCCAAAAACCATAATTAAATTATATATATCATATACCAATTAATATAATAATAAAAAAAATGTAACGCAATAATAGTATCAACAGTAATAATAATATCATTCTATTAAATTACAAGCTGAAATATGGTATTCTACCAACAATGTAACTATATGTATATCTAATAATTAAAAAAATGAAAATAATAAGTATTTTTAGAGAGCCGGAGTAATCGGCTAATTCACTGTATCAACTATACTGTACACATAATATGTTACTTAAAATGTATATTATTCATGATCGTAGTTTTTTTTTTTTTACGAATTATTAACAATTTAGTATTTACTATTGATAATTTTTTCTATTTTAGAAATTAAGGGTCCATGACCTATTTTTTTTTTTTCAAAACAGGTATTTATTAAAAAAAAAATCCAATATCACGTAAACAGATTTGACTAAGAACCGTTTTTTATGTTAGAAAGATAGCTTGAAATTTGTTTTTTTCCACCAAAAAAAACCCCTCGAAAAACTAGTATGAATTGGCCAATAGGTAACTCTAACTATAGCGTTAAGAAATATAATTTTTAAAATCCTAGTCCAATGTGCCCTATAAGAAGTCTTCATTTTTCCAACAACAATAAAAAAATCGAGCTGATACCGGGAAAAGAGGCGACCACTGTTACATGCGGGAAGTTGGGAAGATAGTATACATAAAGTCATTCAATTTAATTATGTAGACATTATGTATCCGATTTTTCCGAATATTTTAATCCCTATACATTTCTATACCTATATTTATATTATTAAGTATATTACTCTAACGATGTAATTAAAATTGATAATATTATATTTATAGGTCGGAAAACCGTATGCTGAAACATCAAGTTTCTACCAGAAGCGATTCTACGGTGAAAAACATGCAAGCTATAAAAAGGAAACGTAACGAATGGCGGATAACAAAAATGGTGTTGGCTATATTTCTTTCTTTTGTAATTTGTTATTTACCGATTACTATAATCAAAACGTCCGATCCAAACGTTCGTTATCCGAGTAAGTCATAAAACGCCTAATAATAACGTTTAATTATATAGGTATATAAAATAAATTCAAAAATAGTTTCCACGCATATTATTGAGGTGTTTTTTCTGAAATTATAATAATTATATTGTGTATATTAACCTAATGGAAGGTGATGCAAAATTGTGAAACGAATACACATCACCAATATATTTACTGTCACGGTCTTTCGGGCGTACACTTATTACAATTTAATAATTAATAAACATTGATCTATATATTTTTATATTTCATTTTAGTATGGCTTAAACGAAAGTAATACAAAGTATCGGGCATGAAAGAAAAAACTTCTTTACATTTATTTGTTTATTTTAACGTTTTAATTTTTATATAAGACGCTAACTTTAATTTTGTTACCTATTAAACTGATTGTAACACTTTGTTTACATATTTTATGCACAAAAAAAATTATATCTTTTTTGATATTAAAACAGATATTTTCAGATATTATTTTGATACAACGGAATAATTTTATCCCAACACACACAATAAAAATTGGTTCGTCAATAAACATAAAAAATAATATAATATACGTATAGATAGCAAACTAAACTATATAATCAAAACTTATGTTTTTTTTTAATAATCCAAGAATTATGACCAATACCCGACAAACGAGTAGATAGTATACATCCTTTTTTTTTATCTACAGTAAACACACGCACGCTTACCTATATACTTAGGTACCTACCTAAATCCAATCACTGCGATGATAGAATATAATATATTTGAGTATTAAATTACTTTTTCTTTTTTTTTTTTTACGGCTCTTTTATACGTTTTCAGAAAAAAAAATATATCACTATAGGTATTTAAAGTGTATCTATAAAAAATCTCAAAAAACATAATACTTATACAATTTTATACAGGGTGTCCCACGAAAATATTAAACCCATTGTAATATCCCCGGTAATAATAAAGATAATAAAATTCTATTTTTTTATATATATATTACTCACGGAGATAAGGACCACAAATATTTACATTTCAATTAACTTTTTATGTTTTGGTAAAAATCCAAAAAAAAACTTTTATTATTTGCGACAAATTTGAACAATAAGCCATAACAACAATATATAGAGTTTATTCTTCTGAAAATTTTGACATGCCAACTTTTTATTTTCATTTAATTCGTGATTTTTAATAATTTTTTAAATTTTCGAGAAAAAAATTTACAGTCAATAAGCTATAATAATAAAAATCAATCAGCGATGATTACAGCTTACTGCATAACTATAGGTCGCTAATTTTCTCTGAACTTAAATACTAATTAAAAATCACGAATTCTATGAAAATAAAAAGATGAGACGTTAATATTTTCAGAAGAATACACTCTACCACTCTTTAAGTGTTAGTGTAAGTGTGGCCGTACTGCCACACTAACGATATTACACTACTCTCCTCCAACCCATATTTAAAAGTAGTATATCTCGTCAACAGCTTGACGTAAATCAAAAATTTCAACACTAAAATTTATTTAAACTAATCCTCAAATTATTTATAAAATTTTTAATATAAGTTGCCATTTGACATTCAAAAGTAGGTAGTTTTACCCTCGAAAATAAGGGTGACAAAAAATAACACAAATATAAAATTGTGGAGTAGCTTGCTTCTTAAATGTTCTAAAAAACAAATTTCGGAAAAAGGTTAATACTTTCCGAGATAATGAGTGTGCCCACTTAAATGAATCACTTGGCAAATAATAGTTATCCTCAAATTTTTCGAAAATAATAAAATTAAAACTTATTTTTTTTTATTATTTTTACCAAAACATAAAAAATTAATTGAAATGTAAATATTTTTAGTCTCCAGTGAGTAATATAAAAAATTAATAGAATTTTATTATTTTTATTAACTCTGGAGGTATTACAATGGGTATATCTTTGTGGGACACCCTATATATTGCTTTTGAACTGGAATATTTGAAAATGTATAAATATATACAGATGTTAAACTGTTAAAATGGTATTAAATGTGTACAAACTGAATTTCGTTATAAATTAAATTGTGCACGCATAGACCGAAAATAATTAAAAAATGATATATTTTTTTTTTATTTATAGTTCTTCACTTAATTGCGTATATCACGCTTTACGCGTCAGCGTGTTTCAATCCGATCATATACGTCATTATGAACAAACAATATAGAAAAGCGTACAAATCTGTTTTAAAGTTTGGATACTGCGAATCGGCTACGAAACGAGTACCCGTGTTAAGATCTATTTCAAAACGTCTACATCCGCACGGTAACTACCTTTTAATACTACCTATTAATATAATTTGGTTTGCAAATGCTCAAATACACTATTTACTTATGTAAACAGGGCTTGGAACCGAAATTAAAAATACCGGTATTTTAATCAGAATATTTTGAAAATATTAGAACCAGACCTTACCGAAACCCCTTTTTTTATTTCTTAGGAACCTAAACCGGAACCGGAACCGATATTTGAGGGCCGTGCGTTTTGCGCCCATTACCTTTTTCGTACTATTTCGAACTATTATCGAAATCTTTACCTGCTGAAATTATATAAGGCGGACTCAAAATTTTAAATTATGTAAAATTAATATAATATAATATAATCATATAAAATTGTCAATTTATTTTAGTTTAAATGTTTAATATCATATTAGTTATCACAAACGATAAATGATAGGTACTTATAATAGTTATACAATTATATTTCACGTAATTTTATACGCATGGATTTTCCATCATAATAAACTATAAATCTATGTAGACTTCAGATAATCAATAACCATATTATTATTATCGATCAAATGTACACCGTTTGTAGTGTTTTGATTTAAAATTATATAAAATTAATATAATATAATATAATCGTATAAAATTGTCAAATTATTACAGTGTAAAATATTGTATAAAAAACAATAAAATAGTACATTACGAGTGCATAATTGTCAACTGTTGTCTATTATACATATAATTTTAAGTGAATAGTCCGCCTTACATTAATTCAGCAGGTAAAGATTGGGCGCAAAACGCACGTTACAGATATTTGTTGGAATAGACTTTCCAATTTAAAAAAATGACCATGAAAATGAAAATAATTTCTTTAGAAGTAGTTTATGGTTTACTTTATCAAATGCGTTCTGAAAATCAATATAAACCGAATACAATTGGGTACAATTATTAAGGACTTCACGAAATTTAGATTGATAAAATAAAATGAAATTGTTTTATTATTTTAAAATTAAATTTACATTGTATAAAAAAAATTACCTTCGATAAAATACCTTAATAATAAGTCATTAAGGATGACATATTTTTCAAAAACTGACCAAAAATAACCTTCATAACATCAGTCATTATAGAAACGTCAAAATGTTCGATTATTCTTATTATAAGCTATCGAATAATAACATCATTGTTATTGTAATTGATTCATTTTTAGAAGAACTAAGGAAGGAATTGATTCTATTTTTTTTTTTAAAGAAAGAGAAACGTGAATTAATTTCTTATCTTAAGTAATAGGAATGTAAATACTTATTGTAATTCTTTTTTTGTTTTCGGAAATGTCTTTTTAATATATTTGGGGAGAAAAATTTAGTTTATCAAGTCTTTAATAAACGAGACGTTATCAACAAATTTATGTTGACATACGAATTGATATTCTGATTACGATAATATTTTCTAAATCATGTATTATAATTTATAAGTTAACTATTACGAACGATATCAAATCTAATAACGAAAATTCAGTAACGGATACAGGACCCGATATTTGTATCTATTACACAATAACAAGTACATATCATGATATTAAAATATTTTTTTTATAACAAAGGGGTAAAAAACGAGTTCCTTTTAATATAAAATGAACGAAGAACTGAACGAATGACTTTTTAATTTGTATACTGAAGGAATGCGAAATTTAACTAATTTCTATGTAAAATGACAAAACAAATACAACAAAACAAATAACACTAATTAATATTATCCATACAAACAAATAACCTACAAAATAAATGTATTACACAATAAATTATATTAGTAGTCATTTTATCATAGTTATTAGTTATTTGGTACTATCTGTTGCATTAGCGGACCCTGGCATTTATTCATTTTTATTTTGTTAGAGGGAGGGGACAAAACCATTTACAAAAATTAAACTTGGTATACACTTTACCATAATACAAAAAAAAAATTATATTGTATAAAGTATACTGCGGTGTTTGGGGAAAACAAATTACCTTATTGCCTCCTCTCGATTCGTTGTAAATCAAACAAAATAACAGCAAATACAACAAAATGGTATTTATACTTATTAATTCTAAACGTGTCAAAAATTGTGGGCATAAGCATGAGCCGATATCGAATATCGGCTAATATTGGCAACATCGGAAAATCGGTTATCAGTTTTTTTTTAAACCGATATCAACTATGTGTGTAATATTAAATCATTAAAAATTTAAATTTCAGGAAGATTTCATCAAGAAGACGGGTGTAAAACAGTCATATCGCAGGTATCGATTGCATTAGAACCACTGAATAAGAACAATAATTCGAGATGAATGAAACTTAAAAGTGACTAGAATAAAATACCAATATTACACAATTTAACTTTAAAATAAATAGTTTATAATAGAATATTTTATTTTCCTAACATTTTTTTTTCGTCGTTAAAACACCTACTTGTATCATTACCGAAAATCCTCATATCTATGAAAAAAAAAATATATGATAATTTTGTTAGTTTTACACAGTTATAATCTTATGAATTTGTTTTTTTTTTTTTGTTTCCTTTAAAATGATATTACACCAACAACATTTGTCACCTCAATAAACATTGTATATATTTGAATATAAATCATCGACATTTATTTTTCTTTCGCTTTTTAAATATGACATTTCGGCAACTTGATTTATACAGTCTTCGATTTATACATCAGTTTTTATTATTTACAGGTCCCGGGCACAAACCAATATCTTCCGTTTTCGCACTGTTTATTTTCATAATCCATTACATTGGATATCGCCTTTACTTGGCATTATTATTTGGTACTTTATCGTCTCGTCTCAGAAAAATAACGTAGCATGGACAAAATTTCTTTGGTATTGTTAATTTTGCTTTTATTTTGTATTTGTTTTATTTGTCTGTAAACAATTTAATGATGGTCGTATCGGATTCCTTTCTTAACCTTAGCTGTGATAAAGGGATTTTCTGCGTATAAAATATTATCTTCTTATTAAGAGATTTCAAAATATGGTTTTTGATATTACACTAGATTTTTATTTCTATACAAAAATGTATATACCAACACATTTCTACTCTTGGGCTACTCTTCTCCGGGCCACCAACTATTTACATGTTTCTGTTAAGTAGATATTATATTACACTCTAACATAGACAAAATATTAAAATTAAATGCCCTATAAAATTGGCATAGAAAATTCACAAAATCTTAAATTAGTTTATATTGACTGACAGTTGAAATTAATTGCCGAATATTTCATAAGTGGTAAGTGTATTATCATAAAATCACTATTTGTTGATATACTATTCGAAATTTGTTTCACTTGCAAAAATATTAATTCGAGTAGTTATGTATAATAAATTATTGTTTATTATTTATTTATTTTTTTTTTGGTTTTTTTGTACATTGAGATTGTATACTGAAAGTTTTAGATAATATTTTAGTTGAGTTAAGTTAATTCTTTTTTTTCTAATCAAAATTCTTTTCGTAAAGGTAATTTTTTAGACCGTTACTCCGAATCACAAGCATATATATAAATATTTAACACACGTTAAATACTTATTATAATGATATTTTTTAGTGTGCGAGTATCTTTGCCAACATATAACAATCTTAATGATTTAATTAGTATATTTTTAATATACAGGATGGTCTATATTGGTATTTTATGAACATATGGTTTCTTCAAAAAGTCTGAAGTAAAATATATAATATTGAATTGGCGAAGTATTAGAGAATTGGTATTCATCCGTTTTCAGTTTCTCATCTCGCCCTTTATATCCGGTCATAACTTATCTCTCTGTTCAATAGCTAGACTATAATAATATATTATTAAGTTTTTGTGGTTCCCGTTCATATTGGTCATATCATTGGCAAAGCTAGGGACCGCTAAAGTTTCTTTTTTCGTACTACTCGTCCTACTATTACTTGGTTCCATAATACGATTTGCCGTAAAATTATCAAGTTGAATATTTCCGTTCACGTTCAGGGTATAACCGCATACCATCGCGTTTCTTTTATTTATTCCCTAATGAAGAATCCTTACTGATTTAAACCCTCGCCAAATGTGTTCTCTCCAATAGATACGCTTTTCTATTGTTCTTATCCTCTTCCGAAAAAAATGAAAAATTCTTTCCATGCTTATTCTTTATCGCTATATATAATATACAATATAAATAAATAAATATAAATATAAATTTATTTATTTTTCTTAAAGGCTTTTTAGTTTGAATCGTACCTACTGTTTTTTTATTGTTTTATATTCTTATTTCTTATTGTATTGTTGTTTACGATTATCATATTCATTTGTATGTAGTAATTTAAATGTTAATAGTAATTCATAGTTTTAGAGTTATTTGGTATTAATTTCCAAATATAAAATATGTGAACAGCGTATGATAAAACATATTTTTGTTTTTATTGTAGTTATTCAAAAATTATTAATAGTAATAAAATTTGAATTATTTAATCAATTAAAATTGTATGTATTGTATTATTAAAAATCTAATATAAAATTAATATATTTTCTTAAGATAAAACTTCTATACTTTTAAAATCATTTTAATCTTATCTATAGAATTAAATGAATACAAATGCATTTTTATTTTGTCATTGCTTACATAAAGATTATAAAAGTCAGAAATAATAGCAATAAAAATAAAATCGAATAGACTTTTATGAGTTATTTACACCTTGTTATTGAAAACGATTTTACGATGATAGTAAAATGATTAAATAGACTTTATATATTTTTTTAATAAAATGTGTTCAATGTTGAACCGATTTTCCTAGATTTTTCTCGTGTTTCTTCTCCCGTGTTTTATATTTGCTGGGAAAACTGTTTAGAATATCGAAAAATTCCCAAAAGTACCTCCCCACGCCGATTTCCTTTCAGAAAAGATGCTACACTTCAAAATCAGAGCAAGTCTTCTGGTAAAAAAGTTGCACACAGGTAAAATAAAAAATGAACATCTTTGTAAAACCAGAAGCTTCTTCGCTCCACTCAGAATCTAAAATAAATACTATTTTTAATCTATAGGTATAGGTTAATAATTATTATATCGAAAATTATTTTGTCGACAATTTTCTTTAGCTACTCATTAGAGCAAAAATTTTAAATTACTGTTGTGTCACCTTTCGTATTACAGCAGCTCTTGCATATATCTACACATGCAAATAAGCGACGATACCCGCGATGACCCAAATTTAAATACTAATGTTGTGCCATCTCTCTTGGGAAAATCACGTTTGTAGGAAACGCATTAGAGTATATTGATGAACTATACCCTTTTGTATACAAGTTTTTGAAGCAAAAATATTCTCGGTTACGTATAGTATTATTATGTTTAATATTTATAATTTATACATATTCATTTAGTAAAATACAGATGTCCTTATTCGATATTATTGTATATTTATGTATATTATAAAATATACCGAAATAATACTTAAATTACGACAGTATATTTTCATTAGACCTCAAAATAATATTAAAATTATTAAATGTCAGGTATAAATTATTTTTACCACTGCATTACGTTGATAGGTATATATTAAGGAATTAAATTAAATTTATTAGTTCATCAATCAAGCGAATACTTAAGACTTACGGAGTTTATAAACAAAAACAATATTCTTCTTATATAATATTATATAGATAACATTTTTTTTCTTTGCGGAATATAGTATAATAAGAAAGTTGATACTGCTCGCGAATAGGTCACGGTTGTATACGAGTATTAGGGAAAAGTAGGGTATTTTAGACATACTTTTATACTATATGCAACGATAAATCATTGGAAACGAAAACATTTCTGAGCCAGAGGTGGATCTTGGATAGGAAAACAGAAGGTTCTATTTGAAAATTCATATAAGCCACACATTTATGATGGAAATCAAGCTCTCAATATATTGAGGCTAAAAGTATATTTGGATGCGAATGGAGGAGAGGCATGCACCCCCATCGCCTCCCCTGTATCCGCCACTGTTCTGAGCCAAGTTCCGTTAAACATAATGTTTTTAAATATCATGATATTTATCCGCCTAAATTTGAACTTAAACGCGTTAAAAAAAAAAACTACTACATTAATATATCAAAGAAGAAAGTCTTTAAATATCAAATATTCAACCATATTTCATATCTGTTAGGCGGCATAGTGGTTAGGACACATAGGGAAGTTATATAAACGAACAATATAGAATAACACTCGATTAACTGATTGATTTTTGGTTGCCTGTGAACTGAAATATGATCCTAAAGAAATGGTTCCATTAACCAACCTGATATTTTACGTTTGGTTTTCCGAGTTACAAAAACACCAGTATTAATAGTATTGATACCAAAACTAGTAGGCAGTGGTTACTGGTTGCCAACGTTGTATGTTATTTCAGAGTTTCAAAGACTCTAGATCATCCATTTCTTTCAACACAGGAATATACGGAGTGTCCATTAGAGCCCGCAGAAATTTTATTAGAGGGGTACAAGATTTAATATTTTATACTTTATGCAATATACAATTCGACGAAAAAAAAAAAAAAATTTTTTAAATATGACAAATTTATTGCCATATTAAAATATAGAGAGGGCAAACGCCCCCTCTCCCTTCCCTCCGAGCACTTACAGAAGTATCTAACCACTGATTATAAGTAGTTAATAAGCAGAAAAATATATAGGCATGTCTGAGATCAAATCCCGAAAATGCTCAATAAATTGTTGTATATTTTCCCTCAATTTTGGAATAATGATTAAGGGCTAAATAATCTGGTAAAATTATTAATATAACTTAAGAAAACTTTAATTACTCTGTCGTGTTCATTTTTTCATAATGTTTATAAATCTTCTCATAATACACGCCAATAGATTAACTACTCAGTACTCTACTTATATCCGAAAAAACACAATTCATTTTATAACAGAAACACTATACGCTGTGTTTAGAATTTAAAAGTGCCTACAGAAATATAGTAACCAAAAACGCCAAGTATTATTTTTTTGTAGATTTTATCATAAAAAGAATGACTATAATATATTTCCTGATAAAAGAAAAAAAAGTATAGGTAATGTCAAAATCTTTTTTTATTGTCATTATTAACTATACAAGCGTTACTACCTCAGCACGTTTTAAAACCTAGTGACAGCAAAAGCACTAACTGTTCGTCAATGTGTTAAGTTAGATTTTTTATTCAAATTCATTAAATATAATTGTTAAAATGGCGCAATAAAAATCTAGCACAATTTTCGTTTTAAATTTGAAAAAAAAAACTTAATCCCACTCGAAATGGGTTTTCGTTTACCATACGATGTATCATAGTCATAGTTTGCATTCATTAATTCAATTTAAATTATACCTAAATATCCTATTCTCAACTTCCCAACATCGAGATCTTTTTTGCTATTGGTTTAGGTTTACCTATATGTATAACATACCTATTTATTATAGTAATACTATATATAATATGTACAATATAGTTACACTTAGTTCTAATGAAAAACGCAATTATATACTAATTACAGTATATTGTCCCCAATACAATCGTAAAAATTGTAAACAGCACAAAAAATGGTTTTCAAGAACACGCGCGGTCTAGCTAAATATAGTCACATATGTACGAGTAGGTATAACTTGACCGCCAAATACACAAAATAATATGTCCTAGGGCATAAAATATTACCATGCTCGAATAAGAGGCACTAACGTTGTTCTCATTCATATCGTAAATGTTATAAAACAAAATTGACGATACTCAAGTACCTACACAAACAAGACATACTGCAGACATAGTATGACATATATACATAGCAGGGGTGACCAAACTTTTATTGGTAGAGATCATAATAAGAATATATTTTTCCTTTGAAGATCGACTTTCTAATAAAAATGTATAACTATAAATTACCTAATAGGTATTAATAATAAACATTCACATTACAATTATATACAATAAAACTAAAATGTATAATTAAATAATTTTTTTCATCACATTATTATTACGATTAATATAATATTATTATAAATACAATTGCCAGTATAAACGCTGTTTAAATATATTACTTAATAAATTGACAATAAAATAATGAAAATATATTAAGATAAAAATTATCAGCGATTGTGATTCATTTACTAAATTACATAAAAATAAATTCTAACAAAAGGGAGATCGACGTTTAAATCGTCCGCGGTCTACCTTCCCTTGATATATATATATATACGTGTATATACTCGTATATATACTATATAGTCAATATTGACATCATATTGGTTGCTTTTAACAATAATAATATTCTGTCATATTTTGCCAACCGGAAAAATATCTCTATCATTGACAAGGGCAACTATAAATAATATAATATAATATCAATATATTAATATTACGATTATAATGTAATATTGTTCATTTTCTGTTAATTGGATGATATAAAACAAACAAATTTTTTCATTTTATCATTATACCCGTGAATATATGTATGTAGACGCGTGTTATTTCCTATCCATTTGTAAATTCCGCGAGCGGAACAAGATAAAATTGATATATGTATATCAAATATTTAGAAGAGTGATGGGTATCTATATAATCTACCTATATAATTGATATCCTTGAATCATTTAAAACTACAACACCGACTTCTGACGCATAGAATTAACCATATAATAAGTCACTTTCGTTTAATATATACCAATATATATGTACGTAATAAACGGTAAAATAACATTTTCGAAACGGAGAAAAATTGTCCAGAATTGATTCAAGACGTGTGTTATAACTTAATAATATATCCACCTATCTCGAATGATTTATAAATACCGAGTTATTTACGGTTGTAAGTTGTAACAATCAAAACTGCGTCGTTATTAATAGTAAAACGAATAAAGTAGTCGAAACGAGATGGACAAAATATACGAATGAAACGAATTAACCGAATCCAATGAAGTGGAATTGTACACAAAGAGTCAAAGACCTTAAGTTTTAAAAACTAATCATATTTAAAACATACCTAACTAGCTTTTATTATATAAGTTTAAATTTAAGATAGAATATAATAGTTATATAATATTATACTTTAGTACTTTTATAAATTGAAAAAAAAAATAGGTAAATCATCTTCACTTTAGTTGAAAAAACTAAAAATTAAATCGAAAAAAAAAACATTAAACAACTAAGTGTTAATAAATTGTGTCACTTTTTTGCTTTTAAATTCTGCACAAGATCCTTTCATTTCCTTTGTACCAGCACAATAGATATATACCTTTTTCGTACCGGCGCAATAGATTTATTTAATATAGATAGCGTCCCAAAATCGGTACAATTGACGAACACCGATTATAGTAAAAAAAAAAAAAATTGTAAAACCAATACATTCTTCGCTACATCTAAAATACAATGTAGTATAATTTGTATTTATATAAGTGGAACATTTTCGCGTCTCATGGACGCAGTCATTTTGACGCGAGACAATTGGGCGCATGGCACATTTCGACGCATTTTTTTTTTAAATTCTTATTAAATATAAAATATATATATGATACTTAATAAAT